AACGTGCTTCAGATCCTCTGTTCCTCTCGCGCTCTGCCTCTCCCCCACTTATGCTCACTTGTCTCTCTCTCTCTCTCTCTCTCTCTCAAAAAGAAACATTTAAAAGTGTTGATCTCTTTCTTGGGGTGCCTGTCTGGCTCAGCTGGGAGAGCACGCAACTCTTGATCTCAGGGTTGTGAGTTCAAGCCCCACGTTGGGAGTGGAGCCTACTTTAAAAATAAAGTGTTGATTGCTCCCTTTGTGAACTCTGTCTTCTCTCGGCTTCTGTGACTAAGTCCTTTCCTGTTTCCCTTCCTCTGATTGTTTAGTTCCTTGCAGGCTCCATCGCACGCTCTACCCAATCCTTCAAATGGGTTGCACCCAGGCATCTTTGGCTTCCTGCTCCAGTCAGTACCCGCTGGCCAGTGACAAGTGCACTTATGGCTGCGGCCTCACGGCTGCTCCATGCTGAAGCCCCCTCAGTCTCACGGCCCCATGTTCTGTCTGAGCTCCTGTCCTGCACAGCAACTGGCCGCTGAGGATGCGCCGGCGGAGCCTCAAAATCCGTTGAGTGCAAAACTGACCTCGCCATCTTCCCCTGCCAACCTGTTTCTTCTTCGGGATTCACTGTAGCCCCATACCACGTATCCCTTCCAGAAAGCTGTTGCCTTTTCTAGAGCAGGGACAGCAAACTCACAAATCCCCACGTAGCAGACTTCTTTTTTACTTGAGAAACAGGCGGAGCTGTTCTATGTAGTTTACAAATTTCATCTCCTTTAATACTCAGAATGCGTTGAAGTACTTATCATTATCTGGTTTACAGGTTGGTAAATGGAGGCACAGAGCGTTGTCATTTTGGTTTTGTTTTAGATGGACCTTGCTCAATGTCATTCAATTAGTAAGAACCTGGGACTCTGGCCCAGAGGTCACTGCATTTTATGCCGCCCCAGCGCTCCCCTACCTCTACATAAGGTTCTGTTCATTGTTTCCTCAGTCTGTCTCTCTCCTCCCACTCTGCCGAACCACAGCCTTAGTCCAGTTGACTGCCACTGATTTGTTGGCCATCATTTCATTCTATTTTTTTTTTTTTTTTTTAGTTTATTTATTTTGAGAGAGAGAAAGAGAAGGAGAGAATCCCAAGCAGGCTCCTCACCGCCAGCACAGAGCCTGATGTGGGGTTCGAACTCACGAACCGTGAGATCATGACCCGAGCCAAAGTCAGACACACTTAACTGACTGGGTCACCCAGGCGCCCCTGTTGGCCATCATTCCTGCCTCTCACTAGCCTGTGCTCGATAGCCGTAGTCGGCAAGGTTTGTTCTCTAAAGGGCCTGACAGGAAAAGTTCCAGGTTTTCCAGGCCGTGAGTTTCTATCACAAATACAGAGCTCTGTCAACACAGCATGATGTCAGCATGGAACACATGCGTGCGGCTGTGTTCCAATAAAACTTTATTTACAATAGCAGGCAACCCTTGCTCAGTGACACCACCACCACAGTAGTACTACCCTACGCTTCATACGGTACTAAATTCCACATGGTCCCCAAACCTTAATAACTGAGCAGTAATTAATCAAGCCAATTAAAAAGATATAGGAGACAAAAAAACGAAGCAACTGTGAGTTCCTCCAAAGAACTTTCCAGAACTTTCCACAGCTGAGATGTCAGAGCCAAACTCCTCAGCGTGAGATGCATGCCGACACGGCAACATGGCCCTGCCTAACTCTTCACACTTTCAGTGTCACACGCAGATCATGCTGCCTTCCTCGCGGCCTCCCCAGTTTTCAGACCACGTACCCGACTTCTTCGCCTCTGCAACACCTTCCCCCTCCACTTACAGTCCCCGCCTTCGGGATCTCGTAAACTCCCCTTCGCTTCAACCCCCTTCATAGGCAGACACACTCCCTTCTCGGGGTCCCCGCAATGCCTTACCCAACACTGACTTCCCTAAGCATGCATGTAGTAATAACAATAGTATTACTAACGGCTAATTAAGTGCCCAGAAGGTGCTGGGCATGGGGGTTCTCCACATGCATCGTCTCAAGTTAATCCTCGTGATGAGGCTGTAAGGGGAGCACCAGGTCTGTCCATTTTCCCGGTGAAGAGACCATGGCACTCCAAGGTGCAGTCAACTACCCAAGACCATAAAGGTTACAAAAGTTCTGGGTTTGAAACACACTTCTGGCTGACCGCTGTGGTTTTATTTTTATACACGCGTAGGCCTACAAAATCTCCCCACCAGACTACCAGCTTCTTGTTGAGGACAGAAATCCTGCACATCTGTTATCTTCAGCATCCAGCACAAAGGTATACGGTAGACGCCCCACAACTAACACTGAAGGGGAGGCAGGCTCTCAGTGAATTCCACCCACTAGATGATGCAGGGGGCCCCGCTTCAACTTCTCTCAAGGACGATCTCCTTCCAGTGGACGGTCCCGGTGTCGAGGACCACCGCCTCACAGGGCGGCCCACCTCACGCCCGATCGTTCTCCTGCGAGCTCTCCCTCATCTGCTGGCACATGGGTCCCCCCCACCCCCGTTCCGCCCTCTCAACTGTACGTCAGCAGCGCTGCTCCTTTAAGTCAAAGGGGCTACAGATACCAAGCAGGGCCTTCGTGTCTGCATTCTCCTTTCCCCCATCTGCTTTCTCCCTCCTCCCTTCTCTCTCCCGAGGAAAACAACCTCATTCCCCAAGTGGCACGGTTTCCAGCTCCCCTCTCGCTCGCACTTGCCCCCCTCTGGACAAATTCAAGTTGTTAACTTCCGTCCTAAAATCAAGTCCTTATAAATGAGAAGCACTGACCTCAGAGGGCTAAGCGCACTCAGCAGGGAGATGGCACGATGTCTGCCCACAGACACCTTACAGGAAGTGTAACATACATTAAGCAGACAGCCAGACATCTACCTGTAATCATTTGGAAACTAACCTTTGAGCTGCCCCCACCGTCAGGCATGCTGCTGGGTACTCTGAATGCACCGCGATTTAACTCTTTGATGACTTATGATTGCTCCTGCTCTACAGATGAGGAAGTTGTCTCAACAAGGCTGAAACGGCCCAAAGGCTCATTTGACTAGTAAGCAGCCTAGCCAGGATCTTAACTCAAGTCTGCTGGACTTCAGAGCCATATTCCAAGGTTTGAGAAGGGAGACTTGGGCCAAGAGAAGGCTTAATGGAGAAGTCTTGAAAGGCTCTACCTTGATATGAGAGGGGCAGGAGGAATGGCTATGGTGGGTGTAAGGACGACCTAACGGGCAGGACAAGGTGGGGGGGGAGGAGTCTGCTTGTGGGGGAGATTCAATCATTCCTCTCAGGTCAGGCAGAGCGGAGGTGGGAGGCCATACAGAAGGGCAGACTCTGGAGTAGGTTAGGCACACACGGGAGCAGCGCTGTGGGAAAGCGGGTCCGGCAGGAGGAGAGAGGCAGAGATCAGGGCCAGGGCTGTTGCAGTAACCAAAGGTGTCCTATGTTTTGGACCCGGGCTAGGAAGGCAGCCTCGGAAATGCAGGTGAAATATCTCACGGGTGTCACCAAAGACTCCAGCGCTAACAGGTGGAGGTCAGACTAGAGATGAAGGGAGGTTGTGGAGCAAAGACCTAAGAACAGGTCTAAGGGTTCCGGTTTGGGGGAAGCAGAGGATGCTGGTATTACTGCTGGAAATGCGACAGAGACAGCGAAGCGGTCTGCAGGACGAGACGGGGGTGCTGATGTGGACGCGTCCGGTGATGATGGTGCACACAAGGCAAGAAGTTCCTGCTGCTGCTGGGGGTCACTCCTGCTGCCTTCAGACTGGGAGGGCTCATTTTTGGGGTGACATCCTCGTGTTCGTTATCTGGAGTCATTCCTACCATGCCGAAACCGTGATGCACCACTTACATAAACAACAAAAGTATCTTCCCTTGAAATGTGAGGATTCCTTGCTCAGCTACCCTACAGCACTAAGGCGCGTCTGCAAGGAGGCCCCTGGGATTAGCCCCACTGTTTTAGAGCTATATTAGGTAGGTCTTATTATCGTTCTTCAGCTCTCCCATCAGACTCCCTGTGCCTACTTTTCATCTCTCCTCCAAAAAAGACTTTTTTTTAAGTGACCTTGGTCACCAAGGGAAGAAGTTACCTGGTTTGCCTCCTTTCCCTTGGATTTCTGGCTCAACTGTACACACACACACACCCTTTCCCTGGTTTTCTCTACTCTCAAAAGCCTCTCTGTCTCATCTGTTCATTTCTGCATCATGGTTCCGTAACATGACTTGCCACTTCTGTCCTCAAAGAGGACCTGGTTTATTCTTCACCCGTTGTGCATCTTCTCCTTGTGCTCGTCCAAGGGGAGGAGGAGAGACGGGATCTTCAAGCCGCGGATGTACCGGGACATGCCTCCTACGCATGGTTAGCCCACAACAAGCTACTTGTGCACTTAGCTATGAGACGGGCGCCAACGATGGAGCTCTGCCTGCCTCACTCATGGCTGTAACACCAAATGACACAACTACGGTTCATACCCAACATGCACGATAAAATCTGGTACCGTTTGCTAGACACAGGCAAAGAAAACCTGGTCCCAGACCTTCTTCTCACAGAAGCGCGCTAAATCCCCGCACGCCTGGGACAGTCCCAGAGGCCCCACGAGAAGCAAAGCCCACCGGGGTCCCCATGGCCACCGGGGGTTCGCTGTGAACCAAGCACACGCGTGCGGGCATTTTTGTTTCCAGGCCTCAAACAGAACCCATCGCCCTACTGGCGCTTTAAAGCATGGCCAGCATGAAAACACAAGTTGGGAAATGAGCAGAACGGCACGCAACTTTAATTGCAAGGAAGAGACCAGTTTTAGTTCTACAAGTTAGTGTGAAACCATTCACAGTTCTGTGTAAACGAAATTTGGAAAACTCAATTTTAAATCTCAGTTATGTCCAAGAGAGCAAAAGACACGAATGGAAGATTGGCAGTTTTAAGATACTCCTTTCGGTATGGCGTCTGGCTACAAATAAAGCTTCGAGTAAGACCCTGACTGCAGCGGAAAAGCCCCGTACCTGTGAGCTTGATTTTGGACAGCTGCGCCAAAATCCCTGGCAATTCCTCCAGATGCAGCTTCATCTCTCGCCACTGCTTTTCAGCCTTTGTCTCCCTTCCCACGTCCAGTGCACCTTCAACTACGGAGGCCGAGTTCGGTTCCTGCAATGCTTTCTCACGGGGCTTTCCGGGTAAAGGTAGGCGGGGGGGTGGAAGAGGTCTCACCTCGCAGATTTCTGCTTTGGCCTGAGCCAGAGGGGCTTTGTCAAGGAAAGGGGACGCCATGGGCTCCGGCTTCCGCTTTGCTCGCTGGTTGAGGCTTCGGTTCAGTTGTGTGACATACTAAACAAAAAAAGCACATGTTACTATCAATCTGGGGCCCAAAAGCTCTTACACGCTTGTCTGGTAACACTGTCTGTCGGTCTGATACAGTGCTTGAGAGGTTTTCCTAAACCTTTGTAAATAGACGTTGAGTTAACGAATAGTGGAGTGTCTGCTACGTGGAAATCTCCACACTAGGAAGCATAGAGACTACAACTAATGCCTCAGCAGTGATTTTTAATTCTGTGGTTTAGAAAGTCCTAGAAATTTAAGTTCTCTGAAAGAAAAAAAAAACGTATTTCTTATTCATTCCCTCTAGCTCTTCCCCAACATGGTACCACAAACCAGATACAATACAAATACAATGAAAAAGTTTTTCATCGTCGAGAGCCCAAGTCAACCTGTTGACTTTCCATGTTCCCAGGGAAACAGTGCCGAGGGGCTCAGCGGTGGGGTAGGATTCAGGACCAAGTGACATGAAAGCACTGTGTATGTGGAAAAGATCGTGAGTTTGGGAGTCCAACAGTCTCTCCTGCCTAAGCACTAACTAGCTAACGTAGTAGGGCATTTCCTAGTTTTACAGAATATGTATCTTTATAGTTCATAAATTTAAGCTTCCAAAAGGCTACTTAAGAAAATGATCATTATCAGTATCTCTTTAGCTTACAAAAGAGAAAACTAAGGCTCAGAAATAAAGTGACAGAGTCCATGACAAATTAGTTGTAACCGACAAATCAACAGCCAGGTGGCTGCACGTCCATTCTGATAACCAGCTGAGTGATTTTCAGTTATATCACAAAGACCTGACACACGCAAGTCCCAGAAAAGAATTACAAACTCGCAAATGAACCAGAGTTGTATTTACACAAAAAGGCATTATATACACACTTCTAAATATCCATTATGGCCTTGATCTCCAACTTACAAAAATCTGAACATTTCTGGAAATGCAACTCTCTTATCATAATAATGAGTTTCATTAAGATTTTAAATTACTTTTAAGCTTTAAGTTTTAAGTTAAAAAAAGATGAAGAGGAGCATCAGATCAGTGTTTAGAGGATGAATTTGATAACTGTTCATACTTATGTCAAAACTATGAGTTTTCAGCTCTCATTTTTCCATTCTGTACTTAGTTCTATTTGAGAAAATGGCAGAGGCCCTCACTGGTAACTAAGAGAAAGTTAACACGTTGCCCACATGATTAGGGAGCCAACCTAGAGGACCGAGAGTGTGAGCAATGCTCGCTATAAAGTGCCTGGCAAGTTACAAGATCTCAATAGCTTGAGTCTACTTAGAAATACATGTGTTTAAAAGACTGAGATGCAAGGCTGATGTAGGAACACAGTCACATTGTTAAAGATATTATTTCTACGTTACTGATGTATTCACAGAACTCTACAGAATTTAAAGAGATGTATGATAACCGTTCGGCTTTTCCTAATTTTACCCGAGGTGAAATATGCCAGAGGTTTTCAATCTTCCTCCAAGCCTCATCAATACGTTCATGATCATACTTTTAACCTCAGACACCAGGGTTATTCTGGTTTCGATTAAGACTAATCGAAACAAGGAATTAAAGTTTTGGATAAACTCGAGAGGACACTAAATAAAAGTCTTTGCCAAGCAGCTCTTCTTACACCAGGAATTTCTCAAATTCCCTCCTACGAAGAAAGAAAGGGCAGACGGCAGCAGAGCGAGTGTGCTCTTCTGAGAAACGTACCATGCGCTTGAGGAAGGTGAAGTGCTGAAATGTCATCCACTGCTTCCGGACACTCCTGAAAAGATGCATGAACTCGTGGGGGGATTCCTGCATAGCTCTTCTTTCGAGATACCAGATGCATCCTCCCACCCAACCTGTAACAGAGAAAAGGGGAAAACAACATCCACAGGATCAGTGCCTGTCACTGAATGCTGCCGGCGCCTACCTGGAAGCAAAGCCGGCCGGCGCGGTAAGCATGTGTGATGGGCCAGCCCTCGGATCGGGTTTGCCAGTCACTGCAGTGTATTGGTTCTGGTCACCAAGGCAGCGCGATTCTTCAGCAGGGACTGGGAAACTTTTCATTTTGGGTTTCGTTGTGCTTTTAGTATGTCACATGCCGTAACGCCCACACTGTCGATCTTTTTGAGAAAATGTTAAAACAAACAGTTCCGTCATTTTTAAAACAGTAGAGGGGCACCTGGGTGACTCAGCTGTTACATGTCCGACTTCTGATCTCAGCTCAGGTCATGATCTCACGGTTCATGGGATCCAGCTCCATGTCCAGCTCTGTGCTGACAGGGCAGAGCCTGCTTGTCATTCTCTCTCCCTATCTCTCCTCTCAAAATAAATAAATAAACTTCAAAAAAAAATGTTTTAAAGTGGTAGAAAACAAGAGAAAAGTTCTCCTCAATAAGTAACAGCAAACTGGGAAATACATTTCAGATTAGTATTTTGGTCATGCTGGGGAAGACGAGTAACCAAAAAGGAAGGGGAAACATTCCTCAGTGAAGTGAGGCTCTATCAGTCATGTCAGAAAGAGGCAAAACAGCTGTGTCTGAATTTGGCTTTTAATCAAAACACACCTCCTCCCAAATAACAGACCCAACGCTTCTGTGTAAGGCCATGGAAGGGGGAGGGGGGCCCTATCACTTCCATGACGACGCTAAATAGTTCTGGTTCTCTGCCACGTTCACTCATCGCTTCTCAGTTTTCTGTGGCATCTCTTCTTTGCTGTGTGTGGCCACGTTAAGACAACCATGTCCCACTGCTTACTGTCCCTGGGCACATTTTAGTGATGGGGCAACTTCTAAACTTCAAATCAGTGCTAGGGCCACCATGCCTACTTCCCACTGCTCTCTGTGTCTCCACATGGATGGGCTGTAATAGGCTTTCTGGAAGCCCAGCACAGACATTACTGGCCTAGACATGTGTGCATAACTCCTCACTCCCCGCTGGGCACAGCACACATTTCACAATTCGTCCATCTTTGTCAATGTTTCCCTGCTTCTTGTGTCTTGCCTCTGCTCTCTGCCTGTCAAACTTTCAAAGTCTCTTTTCCACTACTTCTGGCACATTAAACTCTTTTTAATGGCACTTCTTACTGCAAACTTTCCACGTGTCTCCACCATCTTATTTTTGGGTTCCTTGATGGCAGGGACTGCTCTTTACTCAGCTCTGCTATAAGATCTTAGCAGAGAGCTCTCTATACAATGATGAGATAATGTTTGATGGCTGGATTTCCTACATGACTTACTCGGACTGTGGGAAGAAGTATCACTGGCCCTCAGAACATATGGAAATTATCTTAGACTGGAAACGTCACTTCTTCACTGAAATCACACTCTGCAACCTCAGTGAATTGTGAAATACTTATTTTCCATACATGTGAGTATGCATTTCCTGCATATGCGTACAGGAGAGAAGAGCAACACAGACATCAGTCCTCCAAAATTTCCTTTCAAATGAGTCATCTAATAGTCAAGGGCTCTTTTTTTTTTTTCTTGGATGGATTTTCCTTTTATTGTCTTGGCACTGTTCTTTGGGAAGATAGGATTTAAATTTTTTTTTTTTTAATGTTTATTTTTGAGAGAGAGTGGGGGAGGGACAGAGGGAGAGAGGGAGACACAGAATCCAAAGCAGGCTCTGGGCTCTGAGCTGTCAGCACAGAGCCCGTCGCAGGACTCAAACTCCCAAACTGCGAGATCATGAATGGAGCCAAAGTCGGACACTTAACCGACTGAGCCACCCAGGCACCCCAGGGAAGACAGGATGTTAGTATCAAGAAAACATCAAAGTTTTATTGTTCTGGGCCTTAATTTCAAAACTAGGTTTTGTGGGCTTTTTTCAAGTTTATATATTTTGAGAGAGAAAGAGAGAGCTTGCAAGCCGGGAAGGGACACAGGTAGAAGAAGAGAGAATCCCAAGCAGGCTCCCCACTGTCCACGCAGAGCACCATGCAGGGTTTCATCCTGATCTGTGAAACGTGAGATCACGACCTGAGATGAAATCGAGTCGATCACTGAACTGACTGAGCCACTGAGGCACCCCCCAAAACCAGTTTTGAGTTCTTTTGGTCCAATGAGAAATACAAGTTGATGGGAGGGAAAGAACCACCTTGGAAAATAACTCTCAAGGTTAAGTGTGTCAAAGCTAGATTTTATAGAATAGTAGTAAGAAAAAAGAAAACAGCTAGGAAACTATCCTTTTAAATGATGAAAACACTTCATTCGGTGAAAACGTGTTATATTTCTATGTATCAGTGCCTAGAAACTAAAAGACATTTCAGCCCTACTTAAATGTAGGTTTGAAGATACGCAGAGCTTACAATATTTACATTACAAATCTGTAAACATGTGACCATATCCACTATTCACATCAATACTGAGTCATAATGGAGAACTTTTTTTCGGGAGAGAAAGAGAGAGAGTGAGCGAGCAAGCAGGTCCCTGCACGTACAAGGTTGGTGGGGGGGGGCGGGGTAGAACCTTAAGCAGGCTCCATGTTCAGCACAGAACCAATGCCGGGCTCAATCCCACAACCATGAGATCATGACCTGAGTTGAAATCAAGATTAAGACACTCAACTGATACAGTCACCCAGGCGCCCCCATGATGGTAAATGCAGTCACACACGTAACCGAAGGTCCTGAATTTATTGTAATGGCTACAAAACACTCTGAATTTTCAGAAGCAAAAGCAGACATAACCATTAAACAACTAATATAGTCCCGCCCTACCTTTCTGCCACCCTTTCCAATCACGCTGCCTCCACGTATCAGGCTCTTGTAATGACCTTGATCACCAGCAGGTAGTACAGACCACTTCCTGGCTGATTTTTTGGCAGCTGCGTTCGTAGTTTCAGGAAGCTCAACTGTCTATTGATTCCTCTCATACCAGCTTTGAAAAGACTGAGCCAGCAACAAAGCACGTGGACCCCATGCAGCCTGCTTACTGGAACCCGGGAACTCTGAGCAGTTAAGTGAGACTGTTCTCTAAGAAGCAGAAAGTACAGAACTGATGGGCAGAAAAGCAGCAAGTCGGAGGACCCTGCCCTGGGAAAACCTCCATACAGAGGTGACAATTCAAGCACGGGGAAAGGAGGAGCTCTCTTGAGAGTGAGGGCCTAGGGTCAGGATCCGAGAACACTCACGGTCAGGGAGGACAGAAAAAAGAATCACAGGCCTTTTAAGAAGACTTTCCATCATACACAATTACACGAGAACACAGTGGGCTCCCCCTCCTTACGCCTCAAGCTTCAACAACTACTAAAACCATGACCAATCTGGTTTCCTCTATATACTTCCTCTTGCTTCCCCCACCTCCTCCCTTCTTTCTGAACCAGAAGGGACCTTTGAGATCATCTGGTTCAACGGCTTCCCTCATATTATAGATGTGTAAACTCAATTCCAGGGAACACAAACAACACGCCCCGAGATTACACAGCCAAAAGAGACCTGTAGGATAACATGGTATTTTAACCCAATATTTAATACTTAAAGTTAATATTTGTTATTTTATTAAGAGAAAGAAAGGAATTTCATAGTCACTGTGATCAACATTGCTGGGCCCTGCAGGGAGCTTGTGACAGGTGAGGCGGCCTCAAAAACTGTTTCTGGGACTTGACCAGAAGGGAGCCCCCAGCTTCCAACACGGACCTCGACCAACACATTCCTCACGCGGTCATTTGTTATCATCAAAACTACTGGGGGCGAGACAATTCCCAGCTTCCTCTTTAACATTTCTTTAGTATCTCCATAATGAGTAAACAGATATCACGCGTTGACAAATAAATGGTAAGAGTCAACAATATACACCGGTACCGATTGGGGCTCTGGGGGCACAGAGATGAGCCAGAGGAGAAACTGTCCCTAACCTTCGCAGGGTTGACATTCTAGTTGGGAGAAACACACAATAAACCTGCATATAAATCAGCAAGTACAGACTGTGCTAACCGCGGGGAAAGAAACAGAAGTGATGTGAGAAGTCGGGGGGGGGGGGTCTACCTTAAATAGGGTGGTCAGGGTAGGCATCTCTGAAAAGGTGGCACTTGAGCTGAGATGTGCCAAATGGCCACGGGGGCTCAGGCCACCTTCAAGGTAGAGTCGTTACAGGTCTTTCAAGCGGGAGGATGGTATCGGGGGCCACCGCCGACGGTGGAAAGCCAGCAGTTTGAGAGGGGCTGTGCCCCACCGTCTGCTGCTGTCATCACCTGCGTCGCTTTATCATGAAAACGTTATCTTCGCTGTCATCACAACCCTTTCTACTGGAACAAGGCTTCTGCGTGAGGGCAAAGCGCTCGCCTGTCCTTCCAAAGCGTACAAGTAACTTACACGTGTAAGTAGGAACCGAGGCTCTGAGCCGCCGGGAGGCTCGCGGGGCCCCAAGGTTCCGCTCCGTCCCCTCGGGCAGCCTCCGCTCGGAAAACCGAAAGCAGCCCCAGCCCCCGGGGGAGGGGGACGGAGGCGGTGCGGACCACAGCGCAACGCGAGACCCCCGCTCCACGGCCTCTTCACTTCAGGCTGCTCCAAAGGTCACTCCTCACCCCCCCTCCCCGCCCCCCCCCGGTACCCAGCCGACCTCGCCAAGGGCTCCCAAGGTTGCAGCCGGCCGGAACCACGGCGTTGCACGTGGCAGAAAGATGACAACCTCCCCAAAGTCGTGCCCCGGGGCGGGTGCAGTACCTGTCAGGAGGCGTGAGGAGAGAGTGTGCGGGGATGCGGCCATAACGCGCGAGTCCCGCCGCTCCCCGGGATGCCCCGTGTCCTCTCTCCTCACCGGCTGCTGGGCGTCGCCATCTTCCTTCCCCGCCCCCGCGGGAGAGGCGCCGCTTCCGGTGCGTCACTTCCGGAGGGCGGGGCGTGGAAGCACAGGGCTGTGGCTGCAGGTGTTTGCGCGGGTTGGGCGTGGAGCGTGTAGGGTTGGAGGTCGGAGGCCTGAGGTCCTTTCGAGCAACGCGAGCAATGCGGAATGGCCAAGGCTTCCGGGGAGAGAGGGCGGCGGCCCCGCGCCTCTGTTTCCAGAGGTTTCCAGGCGTTTTCTGGCTGGATCCCAGGGACCTCGTGCGTTGAGCAGGGCTGGACTGCGGGCTCCGCGCGCTGCAAAATCAGGTTTGGGACGCTTCTTGCTGACCGTGTGGTCAAGAGGAACTGGTTCTGGAACGATGCCTCCACCTTGCAGTCTCATCAGTTGCAGCTTTACTGTTAGCTGTCAAGCGGGAGGACCGGTGAACTTGGGGGCTGCTTGTCCCGGAGCTGTGCACCCCAGGGAGCGGAGTCCTCAAGAGTATCTCAGGATGCAGAAGGTGCGTGTGGGGCTTGACCTCGGGCTCTGGTGGGAGGGTTGCATTCGAGTCCTCACTTCACCTCCTGCCCTTCTGAGCTGCTGGAGCAAATTAGAAGCCCTCTAGGGATAGTAACATCTATTTCGTAAGATGGTCCAGAGAATTAAGCATTACGTGCCTTTAAGGGGTAGACAGACGTCCACTGTGGGTAGGTTCTAATAATGACCATTGGTGTTGTAATTACCAGATCTTAGAAGCCCTCCCTTCCTCTGTTTTTTTCTTCTTCTTTTTTCTTAACGGTAGAGTTCCACAAATAACAGGACTGAAGTAAAAGATTCAGCTTTTGAGAAAGAGGAGAGAAATAGATAACTGGGTTCGATAAGGTAACTGGCTGTCTTCAATGATAGCTAATACTGCTAGACACATGATACTGAGAATAGGATTCTCCGATCTGTAGAAGCTTGTTCTGTACCAGTAGGGGTCGGAGAGGGTGTCTGTCATCGTGATCAGTGTGATCAGGTGATTTAGAAGATACTGCAGAAATACAGATGAGATAGCAATTCTAGTTGAGCCAGGAAAGGCTTCAGAGATTTGAATTTAGTTGGATTAACAGATTTTTCCTGTGTACAAGGGAAAGAACACTCCATAAAGAGAAAAACAGCATTCAATACTATGTTAAAAGTTTTCGTACTCCTTATGCTTTATCATATGCTTCCATAAACATTGGATATTTATATCCATAGCACATCTTTGTAAATAACACCTTAAGGCTCAGATTTTTGGTCATCTGCCCAGAGTCACTGAACTGCCAAGTTTCAGAACCAAGAGCAAAACTGATACCTGTTACAGTGTTACATCCACCATCCCACACAACCTTACTCACCAAGCATCTTGACATGTCACGGCTTCTGTGATTTATAAAACATGATATTTCAGCCTTGGCTGTCCATCACAATCACCCAGAGGGCTTTAAAAATTATAGATGCCTGAGCCACTTACAGACAAATTACATCCAAAAGGGTGTGGAATGGAAGAAAGAGACCTGTAATTTTCCTTTTAAAGCACCACAGGTGATTTCAGTACACAAAACTGAGAATTACTACATTTCATCCTATTTTTTTTTAATTTGACACAGCTTTGTCTAAATGATTGATTCACATGAATGTTATATTTCATACACTCAGAAAATTGGAGTTCCCAAGTGCTTATGATAGATAAAGTGTTTAATACACCTGTTCCTTTTTGGGCAACAGATTTTTCCTTCATTGTAAATCCTTTCTAAAAACGGGGGCAAGGTATGATTAAGTACACAAATCAATGCATAGGTTCTTATTTATTGGGAGTAACCAGAGGGAATGTTTTATGTGCGAAATGTCTGAAAGATGAATACTTCCTGGCTTGATCAGTCAGGAAGAGCTTTCACCTAAATCACGTTTGTGATTAAGTTAGCCCAGGTCAATAGTCTCAAAGCATACTCTCCTGAAAAGTCATCCCTGGAGATATTTCTGGAAAGAACAGTGTTCTGTGGCTGTATATAATGATTTGGCTGCCGATAGCTGCAAGGGAAGCTGTGACTACCGTAATTAAGCCAGTCACAGTTCATCACAGTGGACCTAGACATATGGCTGTCACAAATCATATTAAAGTAAGGTTAAAACTGAAGAAGTGGGAAGTGGATTTTGGATGGGCATCTAGAAGTCTGCCACTGTTTTGTTGAACCCTGTTGTTTCCAAACTTTTTGAATAAAACCCATTTTGTGAAAGACCATGAAAACTTGGAAAATGCTAGCCTTACGCACACGCATGCACGCGGATTGCAATATATTTGTACTGAGAATTTTTTCTTAGTCTAAGGTGAATCAGACTTCCCAATTTGGAACTATCTTGTTTCATTAGACTTATTTTTCCTGGACAGGTTTCTTTAGAAAATGATAACTACAAGTCCCTGCCCTTATCAGTGTGTTCTCAATGTAGGTCAATAGGACTTGCAGGGGTAGGTGAGCCTCAGACATCTGTATAGCTCGACCTTTCCATTTCACAGATTTGGAAAGTGAAGTCCGGAGAGGTTCAGTTACTCTAAGTGACACAACTTCATCTCTAGGCCCTCCGGCCAGCATTTTTCCATCTCATAAAACTCCTTGGTTCTAGAGCATAATTTGTTTCGCAAACATGTTTGTAATCCAAAGCACTTGTACATCAAAGCGAATTTCAACAACCATTGGCTCCGTTGTGATCGTGTGACACTCAGCACGGTGTATGTCGCTCGTTTAGCAAGTTAAAATTTACTGGACATGTTTGCTCGTCTTGCAGAACGCTCGCAGGGCAAGTTACTCGTAATGCATGGTTTTACTCGTATGTTGTCACTCTTACCCCTTAATCCACCTCTAGTATCTTCAGTAATGAAATGGTGGAAGGTGTGGATACTGCTGAGAGTCGAGCTTCTGGAAAGAAGGTCAAAGAGAGTAAAGGACTGGGTTTCGACTTCACATCTTCTCTTTGGATTCAGTCTTTTGAGATTTCTGGTCTTTGGGTTTTCTTCTCTGGGAATATACTGCCACTACCCATCACCTTTGATTGTTCATCTAGTCCTGTGATTTTTGGGGGACAAGACAGGCCTAGGTGTGTATTCTTTGCCTGAGAGAGCCCTCCTGCTTTGAAAGGGGCCCAGAAAAAGAGTGGTTGCTCGGACTCCTTCTAGTCATCTGGGCTCCCTGGTCTAGCACTGCTCATCGGAGTTAGTGTTTCCACATAACCGTGTGTGTCCAGAACCTTAATTAATAATAAACATTGGCTTGGGGCACCTGGGCGGCTCAGTCAATTAAGTGTCCAACTTTTGGCTCAGGTCATGATCTCACAGTTTGTGGGTTCGAGCCCTGTGTCATGCTCTGTGCTGACAGCTCAGAGCCTGGAGCCTGCTTCAGATTCTTGTCTCCCTCTCTCTCTCTGCCCCTCCCCTACTCATGAGAGCTCTTTCTTTCTCACTCTTTCTCTCAAAAAAAAATATTTGAAAAAAATTTTTAAGTAAATGAACATTTAAAAAATTTTTTAAAAATAATAATCAGCAGGGGGACCTGGGTGGCTCAGTCAGTTAAGCGTCCAGCTTCAGCTCAGGTCATGATCTTACAGTTTGTGGGTTCGAGCCCCACATTGGGCTCTGTGCTGACAGCTCAGAGCCTGGAGCTGCTTCAGATTCTGTGTCTCCCTCTCTCAGCACCTCCCCTGATTGCACTCTGTCTTTCTCTCTCCCCCAGGACATGAATATACATAAAAATGTATAAAAAATAATAATCAATAATGGCTTTTATCTGCCCTGAACCTCCTTTGGAGGCTTAGGAAAGGTAAGCTCCTACTGCAGTAGACAGCTCAGGCGTGAGGAAGTATGGGTGCCTCAGGACCCTGCCCTTGGCTGCCCTTGGCTGTCTGTCTCTTTATGATAGCACCAGAGTCAGGTCCCGTCGGAAGAGGGGAGTCTCGCCAATCATTGGAACGGGGAATTTAACATAAAGATGAACACATACACAATTGTTAACTGGGCAATCAGGAGGGTAAACAGAGATCTGTGAGGCATCAGAGGTAGCACCGGCAGGAAGCAGCTCTCACCTGTCTGGCTGGGAGTAAAAAGAGAGAGTCAGGATTGTTACAGTTGAGAAACTTAGAGGAATGGGGTGCTCTGGTCTCCAAGGGGTTCTGACCGACCACACTGGTTCTTGAAGTGTCAGATAGCCACACCCGGGGCTCATCTGCTGCTGCTGGTCTGGATAGGCATGGGGCAGGGGGAGTTCTACAATAAAACTCCTTGGTTTGCCCCTCTGCGGCACCCTGGGGCTGAGTGGGAAAATAGGATGAAACGTTCACGTGCAGCAGGAAACAAGTCCTGTTGGGCACTCTCTGTTGAGAAAATCATAACCCCGAAGGAGCATCCTTTTTTAATTTTTTTAAATGTTTTTATTTCTATTTGTGAAAGAGAGAGAGACAGCATGAACAGGGGAGGGTCAGAGAGAGAGGGAGACACAGAATCCGAAACAGGCTTCAGGCCCTGAGCTAGCTGTCAGCACAGAGCCCAACGCGGGGCTCGAACCCATGAACCATGAGATCAGGAGCTGAGCCAAAGTTGGACATTTACCCGACTGTGCCACCCAGGCGCCCCCTGAAGGAGCATCCTTAAGCACACATTTTCTGTTCGCTACTGGGAACTCTTAAAAATGGTTCTGAGGTATTTTGGTAAGTGACCTGTCAATATTATAAAAGTAGAGAATTCCAAGATATAAGGAGACAAATTAACAAGGGCAGGTTGACAGGAAGAGTCCCCACAAAGTTATTCCCACAACAGCACTTGTTTCTAAGCTCCTAGGAAAGCATGGAGATCACATCTTTAATAAAATGAGTTCTTAATTCTCACCTCTGGACTTTCTTCCTCCCTGCATTCGTTCTTTCAAGGCCAGTCAAGAGCAGAAAATGAAGATTTCAGTCTCTTTTTTGAAATCAAGAACAGCGTGTGTGTGCCAAAGTATGTCGCCTATCTAGTAT